ATGCTAATAATGTCCGACGCTATATTCGACGCTCGGAGGTCGACGCTAAATTGATGCTAATATTGCATCGATTTAGCGTCGAACTGAGACCGTCGCCGACAAATCGACGCTATATAGCGTCGATTTAGCGTCGATTTTTTCGTCCCAAATTAGCATCGGTTTTGCGTCGAACTGAGACCGTCGCCGATAAATCGACACTAAACTGTGTCTAGAAAAGTAGATCTGAAATACATACACAACAGGGTAAACCGACACAACAAAGACGAAAAAAACAAGAGACCTAAAGACAGAACCACGGCTCCGGTGCTGAAAGAGCGACCGGAGTTGCAAAAACGCGGCCAAAGCTTCTTAGGGTTTAGAGAAAAGATGGAGGCAAGAGAGAGACAGAGTCCTTTTTGTTAGAGATGTGAGTTTTTTAGAAAAAAATTGGTATATGTGTGTAGTTTTCTGTTTTTAGAATAATAAACGATATCTAAAAAGAATTAGGTATCAAATAACTATTTTTGAAATATTGAGGTTTTTTAGTCATTTTTCCTAAACATATAGAAACACCAAATTATCATTTTTTGGGCTTGTAAACGACTTTTTTCTTTGTCTCCATCAAAGTTAAACATTTTATAATGCACATTTTCTAGATTGTGCAACTTTGGACAGTAATATAACATCATATTATTGTTATTCACTTTGTCTTTGTGCATCGATATAATTTTGTTGCCAACGAATTTATGTGTATTGATCAGAACACTGAAAACAGAAATCTTCAGTACCTTATTTGTATTAATCAAAATAATCAATGAATTTAATTACAGTGTACATAATATTAGAAACATTTCATGAACTAAAAAAAATTCCTATGGAGAAGAAAATAAGAATTGATCATAACACTATACGTGATTTCCCCCAGTTTTTCTCCAGTATTGTTATGGTGTATATGTAAATAAAATTCCTAATAACCAAACTAAAAGTATATCAAATAAATAAAATGGAAGAAGTAATAAATTTCTGGACGGGGCCACGTTAGTTAGTGACCTGGTCCACTCGAGCTGGGACCGGAGTGCTTACCGTATCCAAGCGTCTCACTCCGGTCCACGAACTGATGACCTTCACCACCAGAGCTAGGGCCCGAGTCTTTAATCGCCCCAAGTGACAAACCATCGAAGAACTTAGCCACAAGCTTCTCTTCGGCCTTCGTTAAACCCAACGGACGAGCCTCCACCACAAGAACCGAACCAACCAACATGAAAAACAGAATCGAACCCATCACAACTTTATTCATCTTTATTTTGTTTGAGTGGTTTAAGACTAACTAAATAAAAGAATATACTTTTTTTTTTATATATATTTTACTAATCAATGAAGATGTTAATATTTGTTGTGAAGAGTTTGTGGACTTGGAGTTGGATTATATACTAATGTGAGAGACTTGAAAGAGAAGAAAAGTCTGAAGTTTTGACTTCGTAAGTTTAGAATTCAACAGAACGTGAGGTTTGAATATGCTGCTTCCTGGGAAAATGCATAGGTTGCTTCTTGTTCTTGGTCGCCTTATTTTTCTTATAATATATATATAATTTGTGAAAATAAAAAAAGCCATCAACGAGGAATGGAGATTAACATTTTGTTTTTCTTGTCTGAAGAAATTAAATGAATTTAATTTTGTCTCTGGTTGTTTGGCAGACTTTTAGTTGTTGTAGACATAAAGAATGTTTGGAAAATAAATCTAGTCTGTTATTTTATGTTATTCCTATATTAAGTGACAAAATCTAATGTTTCCACCTTCTTTAGAAAATACAAACAAAAAAATATATACTCTTTGATACATCATCCATCGTTAAATTGCTTTTGTTCAAGTACGTTTTCCCCCTTTAACAAAAACAAAGTACGTTTTCTGGTAAAATTATTTGAAAATTAATCTATATAAAAAGAAATGCATTTTGAAAATAGAAATATATAAATCAAATTTTCTAAAAGAAAATTAAGATTTTTAGAAGAGTAAAATTAAAATTAATTTCGATACAGAATAAATTACAGTCTTTATTGTTTAAAACCTAAATATTCATGGGAAAATTATAAATATGTCACTTTTTATGTGCCTATTTGCAAAAATACCACTTAGGGGTGTTCATTTGCAAAAATGCCACTAATTATAGATTTTTAAACCCTATTTCTTAAAATTCTAAACACTAAAAAATGTTTTGACCCCTAAACCCCCCTAAACCTTCATAACTAAACCCTAATAGAACATAATTAACCCAAACATAAATAATATAAAGAAAAATAATTTTGAAAAAATGGCATTTTTGTAAAGATTTCAAAAGTATGACATTTTTGTAAAGTGGCACTTGAAAAGTGGTATTTTTTGAAATTTCTCAATATTCATTAATTAACATAGTTCTTTATATTAAAACAGTTATTTTTTTTTCACCTTCTATCAACTATTCATTTGTTGAATTAAATTTAAAATCATGTAAAATTCAACATTTGTTACAAATTAACATGCGATGTAGTTTTCAGTTAAAAATGAATAATGTTAGGTGCGTTTATCAAGCTTGATCGATGTCTCAAAAGCTCACACACACCAATCTGGCTATGTATTTTTCTTGTTTTTCACGTTGTTGTTTGTATTTCCATTAAAAGTAGCCTTCTTTGAAAAACCATGAGCGAAGTACACACTTCAAACAGATTTCTGAATTTTCAACCTTTTAGTGTTGTTTTCAAAACCATTCTTAAAAATCTTTTAGAGAAAATTATCGTATATATTGGGGTATGATAATCACTTCATAACCATGTGAATGGAGGGTATTTTTTTTGTTTTACTAATACATAGTAAATTTTTGGCCGTAAAAAACTAAAAATGAAGAAGAATTGGAGAGAAGTTGCTTTGTAGTAGATTTCATGGATCATTCCTTTCAGATGTAAAATTATCTAAACTATTATTATTTGGTCAATCAAAATAGTATTATACTGATATTTTAGATCCATTAAAAAATTTTTAAATTGCTATTAGACAATTAATTACTTTTATTATAAGATTAGTTGGAAAAAAAAATTTGAATCAATCTATAGTTATAGAAGAAAAGAAATACATTGTAAGTTTATCGTTGTTTTTGTTTTTTAGTATATAGTAGTCCAATAAAATTATCTTATATAATATAGTAATGTGGTTTTTAGTTGAAGTTATGAGAGGCTGCCATGTGTCACCTATTTTTTTGTCATGTATATTTTTAATTTATTTATTCAAGATAAAAATGAAAATTGTAACTCTTTTTCTTTTTCTAATAACTTTGAAAATTAATTTCAACAAATTAATAGCTAATTCTAATAGGTTATAATATATATTAGACATTGTCTCTTTTTTTTTAATTATGACAAAAATATAATTCTAAATTAAATGTGTTATTATAAAATTCTAATGGTTTGGAAAATAGGTATTTTATTTATTGAACCCAACAATATATTATATTAAAAATCTAAGGTTTTAAAGTTTTTTCTTTAAACTTAATAAAAAATTAGTGCAATTAAAAATTTTGTGAATTGAGAAAAACTTTTTTTATTTTTATTATTCTTTTCATACTGTATCATGATGACAAAAACAGGATTCACTTCACCAATGAATCGATGTGAAAGATAAAAATCACAACAAAATAATCAAAAGAAAAACAATAATACAATCAAACAACAATTATTCTTTTTTTATGATTCAAAGTTCGAACGAAATAAACATAGAGACGCATTCCAACATTTCTGTTGAGATGATGCAGATCTATAAATTTCTTTACGAACGTGTTTGATTCAAGAAAAAAAGACCAAACATAATTTTTAACTTTACTTTACATTTATAATATCTCACATAATATATGTCTCTTACAAGTTTATGTCAATTCATACAAATTTTTATTAATGAATGATATTTTTACATATAACATTGTATCAATAATTTGTTATAATTGTTTAATCTTCGAAACTAAATAATTATTTATTATAAACACCAAATGACTTTAATATTAAATTCACAAATAATCAATAAGCTAAAAACTGGAGAAATTTAAAAAAAATGTCACTTTTCAAGTGCCACTTTACAAAAATACCACACTTTTGAAATCTTTACAAAATTGCCACTTATTCAAAATTATTTTTTCTTTATATTATTTATGTTTGGGTTAATTATGTTCTATTAAGATTTAGTTTTGAGTGTTTAGGGGGTTTTAGGTGTCAAAACATTTTTTACGATTTAGAATTTTAAGGTATAGGCTTTATAAATCTATAATTAGTGGCTTTTTGTAAATGGACACCTCTAAGTGGCATTTTTGCAAATGTGCACACAAAAGTGGCATTTTTGTAATTGCCCCTAAAAACTATTGCATATTTTATCATGTTAATTTTTAAATCCACGCAACACGTGGATAATCCCTAATCTTATATAATATTTTAAGGTTTTTCTAAACCCAAGTCATGAGAAGTTGTCATGTGTCATCTATTTTTTTTGACATTTATCTTTTTGATTTATTTATTAAAAAGAACAAGAAAACTAAGTGTTTTTAATAACTTTAACAATCTTATATAATTTACAAGCAAAATATACTACAACTTTTCTGATCAATATGTTTTTTTACAAACGTATTTGATACAAGAAAAAGATGACCAATAAGTTTTTAGAGAACCGTAGTGAATATTGATAAAGACATACGTTACAAAAAAATAAAGACATTCAAGTTGTGGATTTGTGCATACACTGGATTTGTGC